TTGTGAGTCTGTCTGTAAGTTCAGTCTGTGTTTCCTGTTTTGTTTTGAAAGTCCGTGTCTCATGTTAGCATGTCTGGTTTTGCTTCCTTTGTCTCATCAGCCCTGATGCGCCCCAGCTGTTTCCCTCCTGTCTCCTATTCCCTGATTGCTCCTCTGTGTATTTAAGCCCCGTGTTTTCGTTTGGCTGTGTTGTGATTTACCCTCATCTTATACTGTGTGTTCTGTGTGCCTATGTGAGTTTATTTTGTAATTTTCAGTTTTGTTACTTTTTAGTTCAGCATTAAAGCTGGTTTTGATTTCACATTTTGCTTCTGAGTGTCTGCACTTTGCGTCCTCCTTACCACCACTCCTCCCTGCACACAGCCTTCACATGACATTTTCACCCACCTTAATAGGTCTTGCATTAGTAGGGATTGTGTTTCCACACCAGATCCTGGAAATTCAACTCTCAAACTCTTCCTCTCTAGGTTTTGAATAGTGTCATCTGGTTGGTTAACTCCTAATTACAGAGTAAGCTTTCCTCCTTAAACTTCCATAATACAGAGGTCCAGCAAACTAACGAGTTCCTATTCTGTGCTATCAAAACAAATCCACATAAATCCTAATTAAAACAATACTCCTTCTGGCAAAATGTAATTATTATGAAAGCAAAGCCATTTAGGCGATGTTAAATCTATTTTCCTTTAAAATATTCCTTTCTTTCACTGGAGTCTGCTGCTGCAACCAGATGCAACTGTGTTGTACCACCTAGTGATGGGTCCAGCAACACTGACGCACCGGCGCATGTATCAAGCTCACAGAGCCAAACCTGTATCGGTGCGTGTCGCTTTAAGAAAAAGTCACGTGATCGATACAGCTGCTGTATGCTCGTTGGTTGTATCCCAATTCAGGGTCTGCAGCCTTAAAGTACGCAGACCCTACGCAGGTCAGCTATTGAATGGCGTATATTTTAAAGTAAAGGCTTTAAAACCACGTTAGTACAAACATCACTAATGTCACATAACTTTGCCGACATGTGGCCAACAGTAATATTTTAATGTTCTTCGTTATTAAACATTTGCACATAAATAAGTGACATAATATTCAGTACTTAGTTTACTAAGTTACTCTACTTGCGCCCCTCATCCGCCGTTTTTTATCCACACCCACCGCCGCGCTATGCATTCTGGGATATGTTGGGCCTCGAAGTCTACACCGCCACGTCCTTAAAATTCAGGGAAATGAAGGACGCATTTGAGGGCCGCATTTCGAGCAGCTTTCGAATTGGGACAGCCTTCGTCGCGTTGCTGTGACGTAATCGGCCTTAAAATGCTGCCTTTAAGGCTGCAGACCCTGAATTGGGATACAGCCATTGTCAACGCTCTAAACCGTGTTTAAAAGGTACCACATCTGCATCTGTCAACGGAATGAGTCGCCACCAAAAAAACAAAAACAAAATTACTCTCGCAAAGAAACAGATAATACATATCTCTCCATAAAAAAATGGAGCCCAAAAGAAAAAGAAATGTTTCTGCTGTGTGGGATCATTTTGATCTTTTAACTGCAAATAAGGTAACTGTTTGTCTTTGTTTCAGTGTAATCTATCAGAATAGGAAAAACAGCAATGTGACCTGCAGTGTAAAGTATTTATTTCATTTTATGCAGGTTAAATGTCGCATCTGTTCTGCAGCGCTTTCTTACACAAACAAAAGCACATCCTCAATGTTTAGGCACTACAGAGCCAAACATGAAAATGAGGAAACAAACACACCGAGAATGAACACAGGTAGGCCTATATAGACATTGAGCAGCATTATCATCATTAATATATGTTTCATTATTTTTGAAATCAAGCATCTAGGAAGACTGTTTTTGACCAGGCAGTCCTGATTTTTTTTTTTTTTTTTTTAAAATAAAATCCCTTAGTCTTGTGGAGAGTGTTGGAGAAAAACATTCCAAGATCAGAGGATCCTTTAACGTACCGGGGGAATAGGAAGACATCTTATCCGAACCTTTTCCACCTGGCTTTACAGTTTTTGTGTACCCCAGCTTCATCTGTGCCCTATGAGCGTGTGTTTTCCAAAGCTGAGGAAATGGTGTCAAAAACGCAATGGACTGAATGCAAAAACATTGGATAAACTTATTTTTCTGAATAGAAATTTATAATAAACTCTGAGTCAAATACATTTAAATGGGTAATGTTACATTCACAATACCTTCATTTTAATTTTCACTTAATGTCATTCAAAATATATTTTAAAGATGTCTACAATATTTGCAATGTAAAAAATATAAAATGATTCCATGGAAAGTACAATACCTTACAGTGTATACAAGTATGACTAGGTCATTGAGTCAGTGCCTGTTGTGAGTCTCAAGTAAGTTGCCTGCAATAATATTTAAGGTCCACCAGGTGACAGTATGGAGCAAAACAGCAACACTGTGTCGACTCAGTATCGATACAGTTTGGGGAATGTGCTGAAATGCTTCACAAGGCCTCATCTACCCATCACTAGTACCATCTCTCTCCTTCCTGCTTTCTCTTCCACACTCCTCCTTTTATAGAGAAGGGCCACAAGCTAGACCAATCAACTATTCCCAGTACTCAACTCAAAATAGCTGGCAGCTGGACTAGACTGAAATCTCCACTCCCACATTCGTGTGGCTTATATCTTACACAAACACAAACAAAAGCGTCCAATAATTGAACAGGAAAATATTCCTCACCTAATGTTTCATGGGAGATTCTGTCAGTTATTCCACCATGCCACATTTTACAACAATGGCAAAGAGGAACAGTAGAAAAACTGTGCTATAACTGACTGACCCCAGAGAGCTAGTGAACTGATCTGATCGATAAAGAGGTAGAATAGTTGTAGCCTTGTTAGCTACAACCTGCTGAACTTACAAAGATAAAAGAAAAGAACAAAAAAAGCTCAATTTGCAGCTGTAGACAGAGTTTAATAAAATTGTTCACCTATGTATAAATTGAAATAGAATGTGTAATTTGTTACATATAAAACAATCTAATTTATTTACAATGCAATGTAAAAAATTAACAAATATTAAGCTTTAATGTAATAGCTAATTTAAATTAAAATTTATAATACCATAGTATCTGCTTTAATAAAGACAATGAAACTGAATTAATTACATCACCAAAGTATTGACTAAAGGCTGCCATTACAATCACACAGCTATCTGAAACCTGACTTTTCAGTTTATATGGTGTGCAATAACATCATAATCTGATGATACATCTGCTTTTTGCAGTGACATGTAGGTTCTCTCCTCCTGATGTAGGTTCACCTTTTTTCTTGAATTCCTTTAATAAGAAGAAACAGAAGCCCATTATCGTCTAAAAGTCTTGACTGCATTCAAAGAGTCAAAAAAACACAAAAATACATGTGGAGAAACATACCAAAGGAACCATATGTAGGTTATGCAGAAGGCATTCAAAGTGAGAGATACACCAGCAACAATCCAGGGAAGAAGTGTACTGTAAGAACCACAATGTTTCACACGAGCTGCTGTAAGACAGAAGAGAGCACATGCACACACATATTTTATATATGTAAACACACACATGTTTTTTGTTTTTTGTTTTTTTTTATTTGAATGTTTCCAGGAGCCACAGCTGAGAGGCTTAACAACCACGTGTCCAGTGAGCTGCTGGTTGCCAACCTCTGCTCTACATGTATACGGTTGTGTACATACTGCACATATTTCTGTCACGTTAACTGATACTTAGTGTGTAGAAAGGTGCTGAGAAATGTTTAAAGCTTCACTCAAATTTTTGTTTTGGATGTTTGTTTGTTTTTGTTTTTGAAAGTACACATGATTTTGCAGCGTGTGATACAATTACCATTGTTCAGAATGTGAGACTTTTCTGCTGCTGCAGTTTAACAGAGATGCATATAATGTTAAAAAATTAGAAATGCACTATTTTGTTGTTTGATACAATATTTTCCTTTGCTGGAATGATGTTCTGTGGCATACTACTAGAAATAAATGAGCTCTAGTGGCAGAAATAAATGCTCTGGATAGTTTTTTGTTATTAATTTCAATATAATTTGGTATTTTATTTCATTTATTGCAACTGTATTATCTACTGTACTTGTATTTACATAACGTATAAGTAAACCATTAAGTGATATCTCAACCATTTGGTAGAGATCAATATTAAAAAACTATAAGGTCTATAGGAAACAAAAAAAGATTGTGGTAATTAGTCATCCAAGTCTATAAGTATCCAAACAAACAAACAAAAATCCATATCCAAAGTCTCATCAGAATTTCTGGAGGTCTTTTTTTTCATGGAGAAATTTCAGGTTTTATAGAATATGTTTACAAATATATGTAAAAATCTATCTTCAGAGAAAACCTAATAATAATTATTAAAGTTAATGTTGTACCTGTAGCAACTTTTGACCAAACAGCGCACGATTACTGAAAAAAGTACCCCAGTCAAAAAGGCAATGAAGACTTTCAGGAATCCTAAAATAAAACTAGATAATTGCTCTGCACTTAAAGGAAATGATATGGAAAGGAAAAAGTGTTGTTGTTTATGTTGTTTTAAATTATGTGTAGCACATGCAAACCAGAGATCATATTAAAAATCCAGTACTGAAATTAGATTCTCTCTTTCTTCTACATGCCCAGTGTTGCTAAGAAATCCAACAGTGCTGTTGCCATGGTTTTTTACAGTGAGACTGACAGTGCTGTTGACTGTGTGGTTTGAAACAATAGTAATGAGAGTATACTGAGTGTGGTTTTCTAGGAGCAGCCATTTGATGTTAGGTAAAGGAAACCCTTCACTGATACACACACAGGTCAAAACCTCTGACTGAAGCACACATACAGAGCCATCCTGTATCTTTGTATGCCCTATAAACATGTAACCAGAATCATGAAGCAAGGTAAGGTCATTTTCATGCAAATATGAACTTCAGATTCAATATTCATATCATCCTCTTACATGTCAGAGTCACATTGACATAGGAAGTCAGTGTTTTGTCCAGATGTTTTGCCATACAGATGTACTGCCCAGAATTTTCTGCTGTCACATTCGGACTGACAAGTGTAGCAGATCCAGTATCATAGTGCAGGTCAGTGTTTTCAGTCTGAAGGTTTGTGTTGGGAGGAACTTTTTTCCACACAATATGAGCTGGCGGGAAACTTTCAACACTGCAGGTCAGATTCAGAACATTTCCCTCCCTCACACTTGTCACCCCAATGACTTCAACGTCCTTCATATCTGTGAGACAAAAAATATAAAGTACATAATCATGTACTTTCCTTAACTTCTGACTTTCTTGCAAAGCTTGCATGGAGCTGTAAACTTCAGTAGATTTAAAAAACAAAAACAATGAGACTGTAAAAGAACTCACAGTTTACTTTCAAAGTTGAAGCCTCTTCTGTAGTTGTTTCACCTGTGAAGTGGATTTTACAGGTAACAGTGGTGTTGTGTTGTTCAGCTGAAGGATTAAAGGTTAAAGTTGAGATGTGTCTCTGTGTTGCATCAGTCAGATTCTCAGTCTTGAAATCCACGCTGTTTCCTGTAATGTAAGATTCAGACCCTCCTGCTCCTCTCCATGTCCAGGTGATTTCAGGAACAGATCCAGAGCAGAGACCAGGAGCAGTGCAGGTCAGTGTGGCCTGCTGTCCCTCAGTCAGTGTGGGAATCATTACTCTGGGCTTCTGATTAAGAACTGGTGGAAATAAACTGAATTAATGAAACCAAATTAACTACCTGA